CGAAAGATATTCTGGTGCAAGATGATTGTACATATACAAATGATAAACCCCCACGTGAAACAGACACAACACTACATAAAACATTCATCAATCAACTCGAGCTCACTAACCTAGAAAAAAGCAACAATATCAAACAACTATATACAACAAAACTGACCAAAACATACACATATATACACTGATGCTTCACAAACAAACAACAACATAATAGGGCTAGGCATACAAGTCACTCAACCAGAACCAATTACCACAAACTTCCACTATACCAACTATACATACACCAACTCAGCTTAACTACTAGCCATACAATGCGCTTACCATCAAATTAAACTATCCAATAAAAAAAATATTTTAATCATTTCAGACTCTTCAGGCTCAATAAAACAAATTCAAAACAAAAACTCAAAAACGCGTCCTGACATCATAAATAGCATTATAGACAAGCCAAACAGCAGCCAAACTCGCAACTACACATCCACCCCCATATCACTTATTAGGAAAAGCATAAAAAAAATCAAAAGTTCCAAATTAATATTCAAAACTGTAAATCCACATGGATAAAGTCCCTATTTACTAAACCAGTCATAAAATGACGCAATTTTGCAAAGTCTATACTTTCGGATAAAATCATAAATAGAATATTCAGCGGCCAAATTAACCTAACTGAAAAACTTCGTAATCAAAACAGACACCCACACCCATTACTCCAGAAAACCTAAACCACATATTCAACCTCTGCCCCCAATCCAAACAACAACAAATAGAGCTAGACAACTACCTTCCCCCACAATACAAAAACACTATTAGTCTACTACTACAACCTTACAAAGATACAGCCATATACTCACATACAGCAAAGTTTTTAAAAACAAAAACTCTTCAGACACCAGTCCCAACAAATTGTCAGGAACAAGCACTAACTTTTAATCCACATCTTTCAAATTTTTAAGCGCGGATTGTCTTCTCAGACGTCCGCGCGAAAAATTCGACCATATGCAAACAACTGTCCAGCCACTCCTTCAAGTTCAAGGCCCTAACTGTCAGCTTCCACTCACCACCACCATGCGCCTGACCCCCCACACTAAGCCCAATGTTTATTAGAGTAGGTTACCTAGCTTATCCCCCCCTAAACACCTTATATACTAAATAAAGACATTAGCCTAACTGATCTAATGTTATTATCAGTAACACTATACTCTTTTTACATATGCTTTTTATGTTATAGAATGGGCCCCTCAACAGCTCTCCACTGTCTTATCCCACTCAGCCCTCATCACTAGTTTCCTTTTTACCTTTACACCAGCCGATTACCTATTATTCCCAACTATTTTTTTATATACTTAAACCGGCTGCTCGGCTGCGACAAAGCCAACGTCTGAAGCGGTCGTAAAATCACTTAATATCTTATCTGATAGTTGATTAGTCAAGTTATAGTCGGGAACATCCAAATCCAGCGAAAATGGGCAGCAGATGGTCAACTTGCAGAGACTGAAAGCATAGTCAAGCGTAGTCGTCTTGAACATGTTCCTGGCAACCCCGGTGATAATGTAGCAATTCCCATCCCGCTTGTCGATCTCTTTGCTTGGCATTATAATCATTAAATATCTTTTCTGCACTTGTTGCAATTGTCAGTGTGTGTGCGTGTTTGAGTGACACTCGCCCAGCGCACACGTCCTCCCAAGCTCTCCAAACCTCCAAGCTGATAATGAGAGACCTCTCAAAGTCACTCCCGAGGAAGCCTGGAGCCCTTGCTGGCTTACCGGGTTGGGGACTATTCCCTCAGGACATCCTACAAGTCCAGTACCTCCATCCTCTATTTTACATTATATTCATTGCTACCAAACAACATAAGCATGTAATGAAATAATTTCTAGCATAATCAATATCATGACAAATAAAGCGACAAAACCCTTTCCATATCCAATAGAAATCCCTGCATAAAGCAGAGTCGATTGCACAATTCCGACTCTATCCTGAGCATATGTTTATGAATCACTATCAAATAGTAATGATACAAGGCGTTCGCGAAAAGGTAAGCGTATCCTGTCATACTGGTGGCACCCATCACAAACACATGTAAAGGCAAGTCAATTGTTCACCTGAAAAACAACAAAATGGGAACATATCGTACAAGTCAAAATAGGGAATTGCATCGGACATAATTCTTTTTCCACATGTCTACCATAAAACTTGTTGGAAGCTTTACTGAGGCCTTGAATGTTGTAACCTTGATCAAGCAGCTTCTGAGCACGAGTTGAATGACGCTCTTTGAAATCTTGGAAGAAAGAATATGCTCGATTGTATCTCAAAAGTTGCGAAATGTAAACACCAAAGGCTGGAACTGCTGGTATATTGCTCGGCATAAAGGGAAGGTGACTATTAGAAGGTGAAGTTATCTCTTTGTCACACAGCCTTGTGGAGAGTGTTTTGTCACTCTGAATATTTATGCATAGATCTAAATATGAAACAGACGAGGCGGTCCCACTGGTTTTCTTTATTTCTAGTTCAGGTGGGTAAATCAGTGGAAGGGAATTGGATATTTGATGGTTTTAAAACAACCTGAAGCCAAAGTGAAACTTCTTAATCAAATTACCTTGTTTTGACTTTACCAATCCCAGCAGATACTCCGATTCATGTGCAGTAAAAACCCAGATCAACAAGAAGGGGAGCACAATTGGTGCCCATGGGGATGCCTACTTCTTGCCTAAATGTCTTCCCCCCACCTTTTACGTAGATGAGGAAGTCCAGCATTTCACATATTGTTTTCTTCAGATGGTGTTTGCTTTCATTTTTCACAAATGTCCTGAATCTCTGAATATAGATACTTAACTGTATCTTTGTTCACCGCGTTTTGTAAGAAATGCCCTAAGGATCAAGGAATGAAGTTTTTCTTTAAGTTTGTCATGTGGGATAGTGTTGTGCAAAGTAGAAAAATCAAATATTTTTACAAAATTCAACTAGAGATTTTGAGAACCCACATGGCATTAATTCCGCTTGTCTCAAATACTTTCTGTGAATATAAAGTGAAGTGAACATCAACATAACAGAAAGAGAAAATTTAAACTAACACAAATCTAAAAGTCGCAAAATATTATTACTTTATTAATTCTCAGTTCTAGGTTCTTAATTGAAGTGTATTGTAGGCCATAGGCCAATGATACAAACGGAAAATGTACAGTGGAAGTTCGAGGATCACATTTATGTATTTAACAATGATTGTCTAAGATACATGGCTTAACAATAAACAAAGACAGACTTTGTACAGTTGCTCGATGGACAGATGACACTAAAATGTTGAACTTTTGCCTTGTTGGAAATTCTCAATATTTTCGTGGAATAAATTTTGCCCTCTGAATCTGGTAACATTTGCATATAAGATTAAACTGGTTCTCATCTTTAACATAATTGTATTTACATGCTTTGCAAACTCGTTCCACTCTAGGTTCCAATTTGTGTCTTCCAGATTCGATCCGAAGATGATGGGAACTACACCGTAATCTAGACAGAGCATGTCTAAATTTCTCTTGTGGTAACATAGTAATAGGTATTTCCAGGCCAAACGTTTGCTTATACAACGAATAGATATATGATTTTGAGCTTTCTGAAAGAGTTGCATGCCAGTCTGGTTCAAATGAAGGTTTTAATCTACATTAAATTCATTTATAAACAGGGGTATATTCGTAATGCATTGGTGCTCCCACGGCCAAAACCTGTTAGCTGAATAATACTTCAAATTTTTGAAGCCCAGTTAATATTACCATTTTGGAGCGGCTGAAGGTGCAAGTTATAATTCTTTTGACATATCGTGAGTCTGGCATTTTCAAAATATAACAGCTCCATACACATAAATATCCAGCGGATAACGCCCGCATTCACCTCTCACAACACTTTATTAATTGTATTTTGACATTCGTCATTTGTGATGGAATGTAAGCTATGTAAATCATTACACTGGAGAATTAAAGAGAATATGAAGCAACTAAGCGGTGTCTTATTATCAAACGTGAAAAACCAATGTTTCGCCTTCATTTAAGCTGTTTTCCTAACATCAAGGCCAGAAAATTCTAAATTGCTCTTACATTTAGTATACTCTGTATTGCAAAAGTTCCGATTTCTTTGAGCTATTCAACTTTGAAAATACCAAAAGATGTTTTTCAAGTAAACGAAGGATTATATTTAGCCCATGTTTCATGACAATAACTAAGTAAATACTATTTGGTATTCGTTCGAAAATGAGCAACGTTCAACTTTCGGCCGACTAGAATGTCAAGCTGACCTACCATGCCCGATCTGGGACAACGCATGATCACGGATCGTGTCGATTCTTGGTTAAAAAAATATGACGGGTTATCTTGGCATAAACTCAGTTGGTTGGTAGCTTGAACTATCCGGATTTTCACACTTGTACCTCTTGACGAAAACTTTAGAATTCTGCCTTTGTAGGAAGTCGCTTGCTACCATCGGTATTTACACGGTTGATAGTCTTTAAAATACTTCTTTGTCGCCCTTCAGGTTTTTTTGGAATTAAATGAAATATGTATCTTATGGCCGTCGCTTGCGCGGAACAAACCAGCAAACAGCATATCCCCAAGGTGACCCACAAAAACAACTCGTTTCATACATTGACGGCATCACATCTTTAACTTGTAGCTGCAATACACTTTTTTGACGTCAGGTTGATAAGAGGCGTTTCGTAAACAAATCAAAACATTGGAATATTACCGGGATCTTCTAAATCAGCATGGAACAAACCTGTACTTGTCGTTGGAGACTTTTGTGGTGAAATGTTTTAACTTGACCTCCATGTTCTGTACATAGCCCTCCTCCTGCTACAGAGGTACAAATATGAAGTCACCTGAGGGACGGGCGTTATGGAATTCAGTCTTGTCGTCTTCTGAAACTGTGACTTGTCACATTCAGTAATATAAATACGATTCACTTTTGAAACTAACAACCATGACAAACATGAAAGTTTGATTCTCTTTAATTTTGATCTGCAGATCTGATTTTCTTCGCATTCGTTCCGGAAGTCATCTCTGAGGGACAGCCCAACAACTGTATAACACTGGTACGGTTTGGTACCGCTAATGGAAGCATCACAGTTAACTACACCATCAGTGGAATTGGGATGACATCCCCTGATGATTTTATGGCAGAGAATAACTCAACTGTTTTTCCTAATGATACGACATCGCTGAAAATCCCAATTGTTTTGAACGACAACTCCGTAAGTACCGTCTGACAGATTACTTATCTTGAAATATCGGGGTGTTTTCACGTTTAATTGAATTCAATTAAAAAAATAAACCCTTGATAAGTATTGCGAATCGCACGCAAGTTGTGTACACTGAATGTAAGTTACATCTGTGACAATTGATCCCGGAACCGCAGCGTGAAGAGCGATTTGGGCTTGCTCACCGTACACAGGAATGATAAGATGGAATCCGACTAATTCTTGATGTTTCATATGACGCAGTGGCACGCAGAACGGTCATGACGATGTACCAGCATGTTTTTGTATTGTCGTTTGGCAGGACATTCATATATTGTCTATTTAACCTGAAATCATAACTATTGCATTCATCATTCAAGGTCTGTGACAGTAGTCGATTGATAGTGGTAACGATCACAGGCATCGATAAAGGACCTGTACCAGATTCTAACGTGAGGCAATTCATCGTGATTGATGACGATGGGGGTGAGTTTACAAGAAATGCTATACGCAAACTTGTATGTATGTATATATGTATGTATGTATGTATGTATGTATATATGTATGTATGTATGTATGTATGTATGTATGTATGTATGTATGTATATATGTATGTATGTATGTATGTATGTATGTATGTATGTATGTATGTATGTATGTATGTATGTATGTATGTATGTATGTATGTTTGTTTGAATGTATGTATGTATGTATGTATGTATGTATGTATGTATGTATGTATGTATGTATGTATGTATGTATGTATGTATGTATGTATTATAAGATATGTATTTCATATAGAAATTTGCATGTAAATTCGTTGTGAAATACTATTCAGAGAAGTTATCGACTATGACGGTTACGAGCGTTAACCACTAGATTACTCCATGGAGTCTTTAAATATATTTGTAAGGGGACACGACCCTTGTCTTCTTAAAGTGTTGCATTTGCCTCACTGGAACATGTACTGTATTCGCATCATATGTTTATTTACTTCAGAATGGACCGCTTGGGACACATCGGAGGGACCTTGTAACTGTGACACGGACTTGCGAGAGAGGGTTAGGAATCGAACGTGCAACGACAAGGGAATTGCCGGGCGAACGTGCGACGGATCTAGCTTCATAAACGATACTGTATCCTGTGCTGGCGATCCTGCTTGCACAAGTACAAAAACACATTCATATTTCAATTGTCTAATGACCTATTGATCCCTGTATATCGACCTGGAAATCATATTGTATTCGGAAGCTCAGATCTGAGATAATATATATTGTCAATGCTGGAGAATAACCAGTCTAGATTATCAATCATTGTTCAACTACATCCTAACATCATAGCTTTGAACCTTATCATGCAGTGAGTGAGTTTGATGTAATGGATCTGTCAGCATCAGTTACAAGTTATAGCACGGCGTTTCTGTTTATTGAGGGAGAAAGGTGAAAGTGATGCTATCCTTTGGATGAAACCTTCTGATCCGGCTATCATACTTTGGATGGATTTTGAGACCCGTCTAGCAGGTGCTTGCATGCTTAGGGAGGCATGATTAAATTTGACTTGTTAAATGTTTAAGTTAAGTTCGCGAACTTCAAGGGGAAGTAATACAATGCAAGTCATTGTAAGTACTAACCCAATCTAGTTTATTGTATTTAGCGTAATTGTTGCTGTGTATAATACGTGTTTGTGTCTCTAGTCATGTGTTGAACATTGTTTCCAGCTACAACTACACAGATGCCAAACACGACAACCCCTTGGACAGCCTGGTCAGCACCGTGGACAGCCTGGTCAGCACCGTGGACAGCCTGGTCAGAACCACGGAGATGGCGCTCACCACCACGGAGATGGTGGTCTGCTCCGTGGAGACGGTTTCGTGGCTGGAGAGGCTGGAGAGGCTGGAGAGGCTGGTCGGCACCACACCCTTCGACAGGTTGGTAGGAAGTAAGATTAACATATTTTTGTTTACGATACGCACTAACGAAGTAGGCAAAAACGAACAATCGGCTAAAACAAAGCTATATCCCATCTCCAGGATCGGGAATTAACACCTGCCCTCCACACCCCTGTCACGTTTTTTGGGCATGGTAGGATCCAATGATTGTTGGTGTGTCGGCACCTAACCAATTCGTCTCGAACTTCCATTTATGGCAGTGATGAGGTCATCTTTGTCGCCTTATCACTTTCCACAAAGGTGTTCTTTCAGTTCAGGAAATAGGTGGAAATCACATGGTGCCAAGCCTGGGGAGTATGGAGGGTGAGGAAGCTCTTAGAAACCACATTGTCGCACAGCAGCCTTTGCAAGTCGAGAGGTGTGAGAAGAGGAATTGTCATGAAGGAGAAGAACTCCAGCAGTCTGCCTTCTTTGATAGAACCTCTTAGGCAATGAAGTAAATCAGCATAGTTGGAACCAGTAATCGTCTTTTGACTTTCTAAGTAATCAACAAGGATCGCACCCTTTGCATCCCATAATACAGTGTCCATGACTTTCTTCACTGATCTTGAAGACTTGAATTGGAAGAATTGGAGAAGTGGAATGTTGCCATTCTACAGATTGACGTTTTGACTGTTTCATCACCCGTTACTAATTTCTTTTTTAATTTCACGAAATCCTCCTCAATTAGCTCTACATTTCCTCTGGCAGTGTCAGTGTTTCCTTAAGATCAGAATTTAGAAACTTTGGCAACCAACGAGCAGATATCGTATTCATCTGTAAATATTCATGAATAATAGTTTGAATGGATCCATGACTTAGACATTTGTCTACCTCAAGTTCAGCAATGGTAATACGTTTATCGACAGTACAAGTTTTTCTATCTATCGGAAATTTATCTTTCTTCATTATAAATGTAAAACCATCCCCTGTTTGCAAAATCTTAAAAATATATATACAAAGGAACACAAAAATATTTGATGTCAATAATATTCTTCATGATACATTTGGATATTTGTAAAAATTTGAAGGTCAAATGTAACGAAACAAGCGGTCTACTCATACACAATTGTCTTCATCAGATTGTTGCCAAATTGCTGAAATTGTTTACTTTTTAAGACATTGGCTGACATTGCGGTAATTTTTAAAACGGACAAATTGTGAACAGGGTTTTTTAGGTTTCACTTTTCATATATCCCCGATATCATATATGTCGGGCCTTGCTACTTGCAAGGATGATGCCAAATATATAAATAAAAGGAACATGGCCCTTCTCATAATCATAAGAAATATCTGCCAAAATTAGAGTAGGTTGTACAATTTGAGACTTTATTATAAGTATGTATTGATGAATCACTATAAAATACCCGATGTTCGCGAAAAGGTGAGTGTATCCTGTGTTACCGATGGCATGCATCACAAACAGATGCAATGGCAGGTCAAGTATGCACCTGAATAATAAAGAGAACGCTACAAAGTCAAAATAAGGAATCATATCAGACATTATTTCTGTCTTATGAACAAAAGTCATTTGACTTCAATATTTCACGACGGACAGTGATTAACTATGATGACTTGATTAACTATACTTGAGAACGGCATCGTCGCTTAGAAATTACGGAATCACTGAATTAGGTCTTGCTTTTATTCTATGTGATTACAATTGAGGAAATAGTCGTGAACGTAATAAATGTCCTGAATAGGCTGCATGTTTGTGAAATGTCATTGTCTTTGAATTTGCTCTAGATCCTACCAACTGGTCAGAGTGGGGACCTGACGGGCTATGTTCAGCAACCTGCGACGGCCTCCAAAGAGAGTTAAGAACAAGGACTTGCAACAGCCCCGGGGCTGCCCTTAACGAGACAAGGTCTGTCCGTTGTTCCCCTCCATGCCCATGGACAACCGGTTAACACAGGTATGAATTTGTCTTAATCTCGAAACGTCTGGTCTGCACAGATATTCTAAGTTTTGTTAGGATCAAGTTTTGATGATATCAGCATATCATCCAACAAATAGAGATTGAAATATCCAGGCACACAATGATTGGATAACTCAATTTCATGATGAACGGATAGAGGCATGTAGTCATGGGCATGCAGTCATGCTTCAAAACCTGTGATATGATGTATCGTGACAGAATCGTTGCATATCTTTATCACAATAACATTTGCCTCTGAGGATTGAAACAACTGTAATCACTTATGCCTACACAGCATCAAAGACGTCGTTTGATGACCGACGAAATAGGCAGATGCATAGGCATGCTTGAAACTGGGTCAAAACAACGTCACGTTGCTGGGTACAGAATCAGACGTTTGGATCAACTACCCAGTGACATGCAGATGGTCCTCATTGCAGCAAGACGTCATCACTTAGTGACTGCCACTACACTAAGAAATGACCTACGGAACGCCAGTTTCTACTCAGACAATGCATAATCTGAGGCTGGTATCCGGTCACAGAGGAGATGAATTCGCATCCCACTAACATGCAGGCACGTTTGGATTTGGCTGAAGATCACATCAGTTGGACAGACCATGACTGGGCTCCACGACTTGTCACTGATAAGTGTGACGTAGACAAGGAGAAAGATTTCAGGAGTCCAACGTAGTAGAACGTTGGGGGGTCTCAAGAATGATTTGGGTAGAGATATTGTGTACCTGAAAATGCACGGGAACATATGGTATAAGTCAAAATAGCGAATTGAATTTTAATGCGAATTGATTTTAAATATGCCCTCCACATGTCTGCCATAAAACATTTTTAAAACATTATTGAGACCTTGTTGCCTGAATAACCTAAATGAAGGTTATAACAAAGGTATGGCTATAGGGCTTTAATAACAATAGGCAAATTCCAATTAGCATGCCATTGGGATGATGCCAGCAGATCCGACGTCGGTTTTGAAACCCAAACTAGCTAATCCTGTGAAGCGAATTTGGGAACACCAAACCACTTGACCACCTGTGTCTATGCACACGTGCTTCGTTTCTCACACTTTACCATTGTTGAACTTCTTTCATGATTTTAACGTCTTTAGGACCTGTATCTTGTGTTTTTAGATCCCATTTCTTTGTTTTGTAGATATTGGCCAACCATTTTGATATCAACATGAGCATTTCTTGTTCATTAAAATTTGCATGTTTAAACATTTATTTGCATGTTTTTTTCTATTCACACACACGATTAAGTTATTTGCTAGGAAGACTAAATGCACACAATTTCATATGCATTGAAGAACTGTCAATGTCAATTTAATCCGTGGTCATCACTCGTACAGGCGAGGCTTTATGTATACATGTATATCATTTACTTTATATTTAGAATATAACCTTCGTTTCTCTGGGTGTCTGTTGAATTTGTAACTCATAATCTCAAAAAGGTTAAGGTGGTTTAGAAAAATCGACTGAACCGTGAACACGAGACAACATATTGAGACCATTCAGAAAAGAACTTTAGTTCTGTGGTTTATATTTGCATGAATTTCTCTCTGCCCTCTTCAATTACACAGAAGGTGATATATTTGCCATGTGTGTTAATATCAAAGCATTAAGTATTAAAAGGTCAACACTGTGAAATATGAGAATTTGTTTGCGAACACGGTCGAAGGGTGGAGTCAAATCAAAATTCAAAATTCAAATAGCAGCAACAAGACAAAAGAATAAATTTCATAATAAACTACGTGGCTCCAGAATATAATGTGGGTAAAGGGCAAATGAAGGCCAAATGTAACACAACAAGCGCTCTACTAACACAAAACAACTTCAAGTGGTCATATTGAGTGCACTACATATTTTCCTTACACTTCAACATTGTTGAACTTTTTCATGTTTTAAACGTCTTTATGACCTGTGTCGTGTGTTTTATAGTTCCCGTTTCTTCGTTTTTCAGATCTTGGCAAACCACGTGGACACCAATTTGAACATTTCTAGTTCATTAAAATATGCATGTGAAAACATTTCTTTGTATTGTTTCCATCTACTAATACACAGGAATAAGCAATTTGTTAAGAAGACGAAATTCACACAATTTCAAAGAATTTAAACATGGGAATTAATATAATGTTCTCAATTTCAATGTTTGGATCAATAGTGCCGCCACGTATTGTCAAACATTCATTCACTCGACTAGGCATGCTGCGTGTGAGTATCCCAACTGAGGGAGTCTGTTCCATTTCTCTTGCAGCGCCTGGCTAAATTCAGCCAACGTGGTCGGCGCAACATGACGTTGACGCACACGTTCCAGTCAATGTCACAGTGTTCAATGGAACAAAGGTCTTGGCTCATTGCTGGCCATGGCATTCTATGGATGTTGTGCGCCATAACGTAAAGATTGACGATTCGTGCACGGTGAAAAAAGACGTCGACTCACACACCTTGCAAACGGGACAACAAAGGGTATCAGTATGCTGTCCTCATAAATGTGTTCAGTGAAACTTCCCTGACCAATATGGAGTTGGGTTCGCTCAGTCATAGTGATGCCACACAACACCATAACCGATCTACCGCCAAATATGTCATGTCTCAGGTTCATATTGGCTTGACGCCCATTTCTGGTGTCCCCTGCCGTGATATTGCTGGAATATTGCTAAAAGTGGCGTAAAACAATACTCACTCACTCACTCACTCACTCACTCACTCACTATTGGCTTGACGTTCTTTTGGATGTCGCCTGACCATGCCTATCAAGGAAGTACAAAGTAAATAGGGACTAAACTAGATGTGCAACTATGTCACTGATTAATTACTGTTGTTTATATTTACGGAAAACATTAGCGTGACCAGCGTCTATTACCACAGTTATGTTTGTTTGTTTTACACCGTATATTAAACAACAAACAAACAAACATGTAAGAGCTGTTGAACTCAAGTTGTTTTTAAAAGTTATATAACGTTACTACAGAAGCCTATGGGAAAAGTTGTGTGTAACCTTAATGTTTTTTGTCAGCAACCGGAGGCGTCGCTTATGATTTTGTGACATTCCATACTTCAGTGATGACCACTAGTGACCCCATTGATGGACCCTTTTGCAAAGAAGGCCAAACTCAATAGAAATATCAAATCGGTTGCGTATTGCACAAAGTAATACCATGACAGTGTGGTATTGAGTTCACCGTGTAGTTCAATTACCATGGTCACAGTACAAAATAGTGTTCTAACAATATATTGCCAGTATGCATGTTTGTATGAAAATCATAAGGCCACAAAATATAGAATGTGAATATTTATCTTCGCAAGTGAAAACCTGAGAGTATTTGGCAAAGATCAGTGATTGGTCAATGAGTTTGGGTTCTTCTTGAACTGAAGAATTTCCTTTTTAAGGTCAGGCCCATGTCCTGTCACACACCGGTAATTGTTTTGGCGCAACACGTACAACTTACAATTAACACCACCACTGGCACCTGCAATCGTACCAGAAACTATGTACCAGGTCACGGACTCCCAAAGGAGCACATTTCTAGTTCATTAAAATATGCATGAGAAACATTTCTTTGTATTGTTTCTTTCTACTAATACACACGAATAAGTAATTTGTTAAGAAGACGAAATACACACAATTTCAAAGAACGGACTCCCAAAGAAGCTCAGAATGAAAGAAATTAATTCATATGAAATTTATTTCTTAATACAGTTTACATGTTATGACGGCTATAATACCAAGCAGTGTACAATTAGAGTACTGTGCACATTTGAACTGTTTGGTCCGATCCGCCTTTTCCCATAGAAACGGCTGATTTCAACTGGATATTTTTCTTAACGATTCATAGACCTTGCTTGATTGAGAACTTCAGGAATTTCAGGACCAATACGTTAAATAATTATCCTATCAGGGAGAAGGCGTTATTGTGCCCAATCCCTTTGTCTCTTTGGACAAAAAAAATATGTTTAATAATAATAATTAGTGTTGTGAGTTGTTCCCTTTCCTGTTTTTTTAATATAAATAATAAATTGTTAGTTTGTTATGTATTTTAAATCATGATCATGTTAACAGTTCAGGACATCGTTAGCGATAGCAAGCAGTAGAAAATGTTATATTAAGTTAAATGTACAGATCGTTTTAAGAGTAAGTGACTAAATCACACATCAACATGCTCAGCATATACAGTGGAAGATGTAGGCATGTTAGGATCAGAGAGATATATACAAGCACCAGACAAAGGGAGAGTTATTTTAGGAAAAAGTAGTAAACCCAATCACTTCGTTGACCGATTATTGGTTGGGTATACAATATGCCTTGAATATCGGTGCTAAATCCTGTTTAAACACACAAATGTATTCGCAAATATATGTGTATGCTAGTTTACATTTAAAAGTCACACTGAAATATATATTTAAAATGATATTCTTAATTATATAATTTAACAAATCTAAAAAATAACGATTAACTGTTGTATTATTGAAAACAATTTGATACTTGGAAAAACCATAAACTATCTTTTGAGGTTTACCTGTAAGTATTTCTTCTATAAAGTCACTGTACCCATACCAAAGTGGGGAAAACATTGGCGTGAAAGCCTTCAGGAGCAGCAAGGCTTCGTTGCATTTGTTGAGTGGCCAAAGCTGTGTCATGCTCCAGGATGACGGAATGAGATTCAGTGTCCGAATGGTATTAAGTAATTGCTGAAGGTTGGCAGAGCCAGTAAGATGTGTAATTGTTAACCCATGAGTAGCACGTTTGGGCTTAAGATGCCTTCACTGCGAGGTCAGATTGTTCAGATATTGAGCAATTAATATTTTCTCTCTTGTCGTATTCACGTACTCTAACTCGGTCAATGGAAAAGTCGTCTGTCAAATTGCACCACCAGGCGATACAATTGAAAATCATAGTAGGGACGACGTTGATATGTATTGCTCAACTGACAGATGTCCCGCTTTAGAAGGCCGCATAGATAAACACAGGGTCTATGCAACAGCTGTTCGTATGATCACATTAGCTCGGTAAAACTGCGCAAGTTCTGCTTGAGACGAGTTATCAGTAATTGACGACACTGTATATCATTCTCGGAATCGGAATTAGGAGAAACAGAACTGTTTGCCGAGTGAAGATGATGGTGTTATGGGTATCATTGTCACCCTGATGAAAAGCTAGTTCACAAAATGTTGATTCTGGCTGAACAAATTCCAGTTAAATATTTATATGACAATCTGGCCTTAGGCTGAAAATTTATGTAAGTTTCAACAACAATGCCTTCTTTAACCTTGACAGTTTTGATGAAATGTTTTGTGAGAGTTCATTCCAATCACTTCTCTTTTGGAAATAATCTGTTTCACAATTACATAATTTTATGTACACAATGAATTAAAGGACGTGGACTAAAGGGGGCACCTGATCTGTTACAATTGGTGGATAAACAGTTGGTTGATATCCATAGCGACTGATTTGCGACAACCATTGTCTGAATGAACAAAGGCTATTTACCCTGTAGCCATGACTTGAATACGCCTTGAATCACTTAATCGTTATTAATAAGATGCTAATCCCAATTGTTAATCCCCATTTTATTGTACATAGACTGTCTGCCATCCTGAAGTAGATGTGCAACTATGTCACTGATTAAGTAATGTTTATATTTATGATTTAATTCATGTCAGATGACCTTGGCTATATCAGAGCGAGAGAGAATGTCTTACCTTTAGCCTAGTTTTTGGTTGGCTAAGTGCTCCTTGGCACCAAGACAACAACCACTACCAATATGTTCTGACCTAGCACATATTGCTTCTTGTATGTATGCTCACCGACAAAAGAAACGCGATTACCATATATGTAGGTTAATATATGAAGAATTACTCATAGGAACATATTGTTATGTTATGTGACGTCATAGATTCATGATTGTTAGTTTTGTCATCAATTGGAATTGGTACACATTGGAAACATCTCAACGTACATACCTCTCTATATGTTTCAATGGTTCGCGTTTCTTTTGGCGGTGAGTTTTCGTTCATGCGTCGACTCATCTACTTTAGTTTCCATTCCACAGCAGATTATGCACATCTGTGGAAGGACTTGCACTGACCTCCTGTTAGCTGGCTAGCCATAAATTGTGATCAGCAATTTTCTATCTTTGGGTGAAGATACACTAATAGTTGTAACTGTATCAATGATAGAGGGTCTAAAATTACCCTTCTCTATCCGTTATTTGAGACCCTGCTATAGGCATTCTTGGTGTCGTATGTGAGTGAGTGAATTGGGTTTAACGCCGCTTTTAACAGTATTCCACTTATATCACGGCGTGTCAGCTTAATATGGGAGGAGAACCCGAAGTGATGCAGGCCTCAGACGTTTACCACTTCGGTGAAACCCATGAACACGGGTATGGTGCTGACAAACCTAGAAACATGATCGGATCGAACCGGGATTCGAACCCACAATCATAGGTTTCTGGCGTGCCCAAGGGACGCGACTCTGCGGAGTGAATCGCGGCGCCTTGACGACTGGACAACCCGTGCCCCCTTGTGTCGTAAGAGGCGACTAACGGGATCGGATGGTCAGGCTCGTTGACTTGGTTGATGCATGTCGTCGATCCCAATTGCGTGGATCGATGCTCATGATATTACTCACTGGATTGATGGGTCCAGACTCGATTATTTACAGACAAACGCCATATAGCTTGAATATTTCTGAGTGCGGCGTTAAACAAGAAACCATCCAACCAACCGAACCTTCCATTCTTGGAGTTTATCGATCTGTCTGGCCCACTTGACGACAATAAACCAATTAAGGAGTAAGTTTATTCTCACTCTTACACACTCTCAATTAATTTGACATATTTTCCTTACCAGCTGTCAAAGTAGCTCAACATCGTCGACAAAATGAAAACAGGAAAACTGATGGTGTAAATATGTTATATTTTGATCAACCCACCTTCATTCCATTCCGTGTGGTGACCACAATACGCACGCATTTTCAGTCAGATGCATTGGCTGGGCTTTAAGTTGGCAATACCAATAATAGTGT